TTCATGTGGAGTGTTACTGAAGCTTGATTTTCTAATTGAGACAAACTTTCTAATTGTGTGCCAGATACCAGTGGAGGCCTCCTATCAGAAGATACAGGCAAAAGGCACAGGAAACAGAGAGTTAAATTTAGCAGCTTTGCAGCAGGGCTGGAGAGTTATATCATGTTGCTGTGGTAACTAACTTTCTGAAACCACAGTGATGTATGGTAAAGCTTTGGGTCAGTGGGTAATAAATTCTGTTTAAAAAGTGATTTTTTCCCCATCTGCTGATGTAAACATCATTAAGAGAAATGATGGCTGAGAGATGGATTTCTTTTTATATCAATTTTCAGACAAAGAAAATAATTTTTTTTTAAAAAAAAGTTGTTTGAAATCAGAGAGTGCTATAAATAAAAAGGCTGGTGATGGATTGGAAATTTGCAGTGGTGATTGGTTTACAGCCTTCAGTAATTTAATGGTAACTCTTAGTTCTCTGTGTGAAGCTGTGAGATAGCCTTGGATTGCTCAGTGAGCATAGGGTGATGGCTTATCCCCCATGATTAGAAGAACCTCTTTTCCAGGAGATTGAATGCTTCTGGCTGGCCATGGCAAAAACCCTCTGAAGTGCTACTTAAGTAAATTTTTTTCCTCCCCTTCCTCTTCTCTTCAGTTTCTGTCCTCCATGTACCTTTCATTGTTCTACCCTTGCTCCTGCCTGACGCATCATGCTGTCAAGAATTGCAGTCTGCCAGTCACCCTTACTGGCTTGAAACTGGAGCCAGTAGCATGGGTGAGATGGTATAGTTTGTTTGCCCAGACACATCCTCATTGGAACTGGGGACAAATGGGATCACTGAGTGAAATTCAACTTGGATGTAATTTGCTGAAGCAGAGCAGGGGATACAGGTGGCTTGTTCTCTCCAGGTTCTGGCCCCTAGTTGAACTGGGATTGGTTCTGAAGATCCCTAATTTGTGTTAGTCAAGCCTATTTTGAGGACTGTGCTTCCACAGCTAAGCTAATACTAGTAACTGAGCTACCTAGTTTCAAGATAGTGTGGGTATGTCTATTCTCTACTACAGTGTGGACAAATCTACAGTCCTTTAGTGTCCTTCTGATGCAATTTCATCCTATTTGAAGAGCCATGATCAGGCTGAATGGTATCATAGCCAGAGCTCTGTACTGTTATGAGGCAGTCCCAACACACTTGATTTGGGAGTGTTCAGAGGCTTGTTTCATGCCCTGAGCTCCTCTCCAGTACAGGCAGTCCTTGGAATTACGAAACAATTGGTTCCTGAAAACGGCGTCTTAAGTCAAAACATAACTTGGAACTGATTTTCCCATAGGAAACAATGTTATAAATGGGGGATTGGTTCCTGAACCATGACCAGATACCGTTTTCACCAAAAATAACCCAGAATTTTGTACTCAATCAATTATAGATGAGTAATATAGCTACGTTAATGTATTTATATTGTAAATAGCAATCATATTGATTTGGAAGGACTTCTTTGAGGTGACTTTGCTGGACTTTTTGAAGGGTTCTTGACTGGAGTCTTCTCAGGAGTCTTGGCTTCGGGTTTTTCTGGAGTCTTGTCTGCTTTCTTAAAGAAAGTGTCCAAGGAAGTTTGGACAGATTTTCTCCAGGGAGATGGGCGACACAGTGACTTGTTCACTGGCATGGCATTGCATCAGATCAAGCATTGTAAAGTCAAAACTGACATCAGAAAGTTAAAACTGGCTATCAATTTAGAAACGCTGTAAGTGCGAAACGTTGTAACTCGAAAGGTTGTAAGTCGAGGACTGCCTGTATGGGGCCAAAGCATGCACACCAAGGTAGTAGATTCCAGCCTTAATAATGTCATGAGGACCATCACTGGATGCCTTGTGCCAGCTCCAGTTGACTGCTTACCAGTCCTTTCAGGCATTCTACCCCCTGACATCTGGAGATAAGTTGCCACCCTGGCCCTAGGTCTTAAAGACCGAGATCCAGACCATTTTCTGCACTCTAGCCTAGTATGTCTAAGTCAGAAAACCAACTATCACCTGAAGTCTTGGAACCCGTTCTCTGCTCAGGCCAATAAACTCACTGAATCTGCAGATGGCATGTCACCCACAGCCTGGACGTCCCATCAGTGAAGCAGGCAATATGCTGCGCAAGAACTGTGGCTGAAGAACTTCATCCCCAATGCCAGCTTCCACCCCTCTGGCTGGCAGCTGCCTCGCAGGGCCTGGACTGCTCTTAACCATCTCAAAATGGGCATTGGATGGTTTAAGACAAGCATGTACTCTTGTGGTGTCTCCAGAGATGCTGGTTGCAGTTGCGGTGCTGCTGAAGCTCAGACAGACAACCACATCATCTGTGAATGCCCTCATGGCCTGGCCCTCTTTTAGGTGCTCTTGTTTTATTGACATTGACCAATCTACCTGTCACTGGATTTCAGGCCCTCACCCAACAGATGTGTGTGGCAACACTCAGTTCATCATCATCATCATCATCATCATCATCATCTCCTCTAAAAAATGCCACAGAAAGGAAAGAGAGTGGAAACGAGTCAGGACAGGAGATTCCTAGCAAAATTCTGACACTGCTGATGACACCACAACTATCTTGTCTTGCAGATGTTTGTTTCCAGATTATTTCAGCATATTTGCACTTCTTTTCTTTTTAAATAAATTGCCAGGAAGAATTGGATGCCTAATTCCTGGCCATTCTAATTGGGACTCAAATCCTTTTAAGTAGCTTTTGAAAATGTCAGCCTTAGTCTCACACTTCCTGAGCTTCCAACCATCAGATGTAAGATAGGAAAATATAAAGGACCTGAGATCTGCATCTCCTGGTACCTTGAGCAGCACAAAAACACATTGTATGAACATTGTAACAGTTTGCTCCTTAGATGGATGTGATAAGTCAGTGCCTACACGGTACAAGGGTGACACTTCTTATTATGAATACCTGAGCTACACATTGGGGAACTGACACAGAACGCTGGAAGAGGAATCTGGTTTTGGAGTCTCTGTTTTGGAGTCTCTGTTGTTGCATAGCCTGAATTCCTTCCCAGAATGCCAAGTGATCAGTCTTTTACCTCTTGTCATCCTGTAGGGTCTCAAACGAGGGAGCAGGGGTGCATTTATTACATAAATTAAGCACCACGTTACTCCAAGCCCAGCGAGAGTGAACTACTGGGAGGGCACACAAAGGTGTCATCATGATTTATGGGGTAATTAATAAACAATTAAGGTGCTTTGGAGCATGGTTATACATTTTATTCTAGCCATCCACTCTGCACAGATTCAACTTTCATGTGATCCAGGATCCAGAGTAGGCCAAGCTCAGAAAGATGATGCTTTCAAGTCAAAAGCAATGGAGGCTCCCTGGCTTTAGTTTTATTGAGTCCTCTGGTGTATTCCCTAGGAGTTTCCTTGACACTGTGGGGACTATACTCTGGCATCACATGTTGGGGAAGCCAGAGGAAATGCCAGGATTGAGGCCTAAGGAGTGCATCTCTTTGTTTTGTTATTCCTTATCAGGCTGTTAAATGAATGGAGTGAGCATTCCTCAGACTGAATGAGTAGGCGTCATGTTGACTGTGGTTGTGAAATGTTTCTTCTTATGCTTATTTTCTGATCATAGCTGCAACATCCCCTGAAACTCAGTCCTGGACTGCAGTGATCCCTGGAGGTTTTTTGGTTATTTTTACAAAAGCTCTGACTGGTGTGTAACACCCTTGTCTCTCAGTCTAGCTCCCTGATGCCAATTCTCCTAATTCACCTGTGATTCTGACTGTCCAGGCTCACCCACTCTTATCTTTTTTCCTGAGTGGATTCTCCCAGTCATGTTATACCTTTGAGGGGTGTTACACAAATCTCTTGAACCAAGCAGTTTCCTATTCACTGCAAAGACCAAGAGCTTTGCGTTGCTGTAAGCAAGGGCAGTTTAGGTTAGATAGTAGGAAAAACTTGCTCACCCAGAGGGTGAGAGTAAACACTGGAACAGGTTCCCCAGAGAGGCTGTGGACTCTCCATCCTTGGAGATTTTTCAGATTTTTGGCTACCTTGGCTAGGATGATTTTGTTGGGGATGGTCTTGCTGTAAGCAGGAGGTTGGACTAGATGCGACCTCCTAAGGTCCCTTCCAACCCTCATTTTCTACAATGTTATGATTCTATGATTTCAGAATGGAAAAAAGACAAATATTTTTTAAATTGCTGTGGGGAAAAAATTGGAACATTTTGTTTGGATTTTTGACTTTCTTTTTTAAAGGCAAAATAAAAGACATCTCTAGAGTTGAATATTGTTGGGGTTTTTTATTTTGTTTGGGTTTTTTTTTTAAATGAAATGAAAGCCTTTATTGAAGAAATGCTGAAATGGACTGATTTGGTAGTATCAAAACACCATGGGATATTTTTCAAGACAAATTTTTCCAATTCAAATTCATTGAATTTGTAGCACATTCTATGAAAAAGCTCACTTGCAGCAAATCAATATTTTCTACTGAAAAATTGTTTCACTGGAAAATTCCCAACCAGCTCTACTAATGTAAGCTGAGCTGTCTCTTTTTGTATTAATGTCTAATGACAGAATACTTGTATCTTATGCTTCATTTGAGCCCCCCTATCTGGGTGTTGGCACATTAACTCCTCAGTGCTATGATCCTGCCATTCTGAAGTCAGTGGCAAAGCTGCCATTGCCTTGAGCAGGACAGGATCAGACTCTTGCTTATGAATAGACTTATCCCTATTTTTTGCAATAAGAATGACACTGGACTAGTTTTATAGCAAAGGTATAGTTCTGTGGAAAACCCAGAAAGATGCAAATCCAGGGAAGGGATAAATCCATCAAATTGGGGTAGTACAGGTATATTCTTAACCTCTGATAGGATAAAATATTGTTAGATATTCCTGGAAATTAGGAATGAGGAGGTACAATAACACTATTCTTTTTTGACTTTTCTTTTTGGGTTCTGTAGGATCCATGACTGAAAGAGTAAGGCCTAGGGTTGGAAAGATGAAGACAGTGGATATCTCCTGCCTGTGGAAATCTCCTGCCTAACTTAATTCAGGCTCACTCTTTATCCCAACATTGGAATAGTAAGTATGTTATTCAGTATTTTGTATCTGCTGTCAAGGATTCTTGTTTGACACGTTTCAGTCATTCATACTGGGAGAAGAAATAATACCGATGACATAGCTGACTCTTCATGGACACAAATGACAAATGGCCTATAATGACTTGTTGAAGCTGTGGCTTTGCTAATACTAAAAAAAATGATAATCATTTACTAAAAATAAGCTTAAGGTAATAATCATTTACTAAAAAAAAGGAAAGGTACTCACAAAAATGTGATTCAGTTTCACCCAGCCCAAATCCAGAGTATGGTCCCCAAAGGCCTCTGAGGTGCTGTCTAGGTACCCAGTCATCAGTACAAGAAATAAAGCTGTGAAGCTGAGTTGTACCTTCCCCTTCTGTCACTTGACTGTCTGACAGTAAGGATTTCATGGCTTCTTTCTTTCCCTTGTTTGATTTGAGCCCCTCTGTAGCTGTGTGTTAAAGGCTTGAGTAAATCAAGAAGAAAGAGTCAACAGATTTCACAGCTCTGGCACAGCAAAGATGAGGAATTTCACACACTGTCATAGATTAAAAGAAACAATAAAAAGATTGAAGCTGACTGGTCAGCTTTAAAAGTAACAGCAATAAAAAACAAAAAAAACCCAGGCTGAAGCACATGATAGCAAGAAATGTCCTCTCAAAGACCAGCACGCATTCTCTGACTACATCCAAAATACCTTACCGTCATCTCAAAATATTGACATCTATTTAAGGATCTCATGCCATCTCCAGGCTTGATAATGGAGTCTCTTTACTGGAGGTACTATGCAATGCTATCAACATTATATCACTCATCAATATAGATTCCTTTAAGGATCTAAAACCCTACTTAGGGCTTGTCAGTACTGTGTCAGCGACAGGGCTTCGAATGCCCCCCCCACCCCATCGGTCTACTGATGTGCTCCAAAGTCAGACATTCACCCATTAGCCTGCTTCAGACTTGTGCAGAAAACCTGTCCTTGACCCCTCAGTTCCCAGTAACCTGAGAGCAGGAACTCTCTGGAGGTGGGGCTGGAGCAGACACATAAGTAAACCTGCAGTTCTGGAGAGCACTAGTGGATGGACTCAAGTGTGCAAGGTATATTCAGTCCATCCTGCTGGAGAGCTGCTGCTGACATAGTATAGACAAGCCCTCAGTTGATTTCACTGAGCCTTGAATACAAGGTTTGTTCTCTTGAACAGGGATTCTGTCTTGAATCATGGCCTTAGGGAAGATGAATTTAGCCCTAAACTTCTGTGAATCTGTGAATATCTACTGGTGCGTTAAAATTCTCTAGCTTGCGTTATACAGGGCGCTTCTACACGTGATGCTTTAACACTCATTAGCCTAAGTAATTGCACATTAAGGACACATGTCTACACATGAAAAATGGCACATTTAGGCTATTCACACCTAAATCTGAAAGCTGCAAATGCAGGTATCAAATTTAGGCACGAATCGTTAAAGCGCATTAACACTGTGTGTGTGGACTGACTTGGGACTAATTAAAGTCACCAAATGTGTAGTTTTGTGGGAAACCCAGAAAGATGTAAATCCAGAGAAGGGATAAATCCATCAGATTGGGGTAGTACAGGTATATTCTTGGACTGCTCCCAGCATCTTAAGTTGGTCCCAAGTCAGTCCACACACACAGTGTTAATGTGCTTTAATACCTGCATGTGTAGATAGATGCCTGCCTCAACATGCTTAATGCACATTAAGCTAATATGCATTACATTTACCCGCTGAAATGCACATGTAGACACACCCACAGAGAGTCAGATTAGATAATCATGTTGGTTCCAGGGGTGTATTAACTTTCTCCTCAATAAACTGTATAGACAAAATTCTTTACATTGCAGATGTACAGATTAGGCAGATTTTACATCCCTTGAATCATTCTTTTAGTTCTTCTTAGAGATTTCTCCATTTTAATGCCTTTCATACAGTTCAGTGCAGATGCCAAAACTCAGCACAGGATTGTGGTAACAGTTTGATCGGTGCTGGATACAGGGTTATACTCCCTCTCATTGTTCCCCCGCTTATAGAATTCAAAGATAGTATTAGCCCATTACACTGCAAACCTGCATCCAGCTGATTACCTATCATGACCCCTGCTCCATTTTTGGAATCAAAGTTTTCCAGGAGACAGGCTCCCATCCTATAAGCAGAGCTATAATTGTGCATACAGCTGCATTAAATTAATTAATTGTGCACACAGCTTCAGTAAGCAGAAGTATAATTGTGCACACTGCTGTATTAAAAAGCATGCTCTTTGAATCTGCCCTGCCTACCCACCGACCCAGGTTGTCTGCATAACTGACTTGTCCACTTCATCATTTACCACTCCACCACTCTTTGTGTCATCTGTGATCTTTACCAGCCAGGGTTTTACATTTTTCTTCCAGATTACTGGTAAAAATATGTAACAACACTGAGATGAGAACAGACTTTTTGTAAACTGTGCAGCAAAAATGTATTCTACCTACCGCATTCTTTTAGAGCTAGACATTTAGGGCCTGGCTAATTTCTGTGGAATTTATGCTGGAGTGAAGAATTCACATCTAGACACTTGCATCATCTTTATTTACTTCCTTGTTCACTGAGCACAGGGGGAACCATCAACCCTAAAACGTAATTACAAGAAGTGGAATGATCCTTGCACTTCTTGGTTATAAAGTACAGCTGATTATAAAGGGCCATATCACACCATTGATTTTTAATCAAAATTTCCCAATCAAATCAGTGCAGAATTCTGCTTAAATATTACTATTCACCCAAAAAGGATATTAAAACCTGAACAATGTCCCCCACCAGAATATTTTGTAGTAGGTCAAATATTGTAATCATCATTGCCCCTTTAATTTAAATGTAACTTTACTTTAATTGCCAGCAACTCCAAACATAGATTGAACATCAGCCTCCAGGCTCAAGATACAGCTGTTATATTTTCTTTTCTTCCTTTTTTTCTCCTTTACACTAATGTAATGCTTATTTAGGAACTGCAGCCATCTGTGTGTGCTGTGGCTGGCACTACTAAATTTGCCTTCTTCCCCTCATTTGCTGAGACTCATGGTACATAGAGTGTTTCCCAGGACAGCAGAGACTTTCTTTGATTGACTTTGCTGATTGTGTCCTAAGAAGATGGTTTTCAGTGTTCTTTAGCTTATGAAAAAGGGTTATCAGCTGAAGATTAGTGCATGTCAGGCTATCCAAGGCTCTCTAGGCAGATCTGTGCTCTAAGCAGAGCTGGTCAGAAATGTTTTGGGGAAGCTATCCCCCGCCTCTCTGCCCATGGGCAGATGATAATTCTGACTGGCCAAGAGCAAAATTTGTTCATGGTAATGTGCTGGGTTTGATGGCAATTTTGTTGAAAAGCAAATTATTACTATAAATGTCTTGCTTTGCATATTCTCATGACAAAATTAACTGAGAACACGTGGTATTCATAATCATAACCCCTTTCCCCCAGCCCCAGTTCAATTTTAAGTAAAAATGGAAGAGGGAAAGA